CTTAAAATGTAAATATAAATAAAGAAAGATAAATAGATGTTTTTTTTAATGGTTAATACCTGCTTTTAGGAAGACTTCCTATTTTCTGAATTTGAAGCTGTGTTCAGTTTGCTTCCACTCAGAAATATAGCCTTTTCTATATTGCTAAGGTAGATATTAGACTGACAAAAATAAAGATAATTAAAACATGGTGTTTCCATGAATATGGGGGAAATGGGCATTTTGACATACAGTCGTCCCTCAGTATCCGCAAGGCGATTGGTTTCAGGACCCCCCAGGGATACCAAAATCCAAGGATGCTCAAGTCCCTTATCTAAAACGGTAGAGTGTTAGTAGATAACCTACGTAAACTCTAAATCATCTCTGCATTACTTATAATACCTAATGTAACGCTATGTAAATAGCTACTGGTGGGCAGCAGAGGCAAGTTTGCTTTGGGGAACTTTCTGGAATTTTATGTATATATTTGACCTGCGGTCGGTTGAATCCACAGATGCAGAACCCGTGGATATGGAGAGCCGACTGTATCTTTATTTTACACACCTTTCTGGGGAGACGTTTAACATGGAAATAAATATATCTGTTGATAGTAGAATGAAACAAATTCTGGTAAATCACCACAAATGTATTTGAAGCAGCCATTAGAAAACTATAAAGCACGTTTATTAACGTGGAAAGGCACTTCACAATGTATCAAGTGGGGAAAAAACAGAAATTGAACAGTATTACATCATAATATTATGTTTATTATACGTGTGCACAGGGGTAAACTTCAGCAAGATATGATCCAACGTGTCTGGGTGGTGGTATTCCGAATGATTTTTTTCTTTAATTTTTGCTATTGTGCATTTTCTGGGTCTTTTCCTACAAGGAAGTATTACACGGGATAAGTTTTTAAAATGGTGAGGGAGCACCTTTTAAAGGCAAGATGGGAGGCTCATGGTTGTGACTTTCCCGCCTGCTCTCCATCACTAGAGCAGCTCAGGGACCACCAGCATTGATTCCCCACTGCGTGGAGAAGAGTGTAGACACAGGTGACCTGTAGGGAGGTGAACAGTTGATGAGCAGACGGGCAGGGGGTGACCACAAGCGCTGGGGCCCTGCCCCTTTTAGATGGGATCTGAGAAACAGACATGGATGAATGTTCCTCTGAGCCAGGGGTGTTCTCCCCTGCCCAGTAGGTGCAGAGCTGGGGACCGAGGGGTGGGAACAGAAGGGGAGTGAGGGGGGATCGCACTGGGGGAAAGGGGCCTGCAGAGCAGCTCTGTCCCCACCCCAGGTGGGAGGTGACATTGAGATCCCAGAAGGCTCGGTCAGGTGTGCAAAAACCAGCAAGCGCATCCTTATCCAGTGGATGTGAACCTCTCTGGTCCTTGTTTCCCGGCAAGTCAGTGAGGAAAAAGCCTCAACAAAGAGCGAAAGCAATAATGGCTTTTTAGTCATCAGAGGGGATTTTTCCAGTGATCTAAACGTTGGGAATCAGATGAAAAATAGCTATTCCTCTCCCCGGCTTCTGGCCGCTGAGTGTCTCTGGTGCCGTCCTTGGGGCCTGCCTGCTCCCGAGGGCTCTCCGGGGTCTGGGGGGCTGCCCGCCCTCGGGCCACGGTGACCTGCTGACCTGGGGTGCCAGCGTTTCTCCTTGTCTGTCACCTGGTTTTGCTGCTTTGCTGTTTGTCTTGCTCGGTTTCCCTAGTTCCTCCTGCACAGGTAGTTTGCCCCTGGACCACGCTCGTGCCCAGACACCAAGTCCAGCCGTGCTGGCCGGTGTGCAAACCCACCCTGTGTCCCTGGCCTTCCCCCACCCCCCCCAAACCCGCAGCTGCTCGCTCGTCCCCCAGCTCACCCCCTGTCACTCATCCCAGCAGAGTCACCAGCCTGCCCTGAGCACCGGAGATGGCGGCTGGGGGCGGGGACGCGTGGTCTCGGGGAGCCGGGGCCTCAAGTTCAGACCCTGTGCCACCGCCATGCAGTCCCGTGGCCTCACGCAGCCCCTTCCCCTCCCTGGTTCCTTGGGTCTCCGGTCTGTAGTTGGACGCAGCTTCCCCTCTCAGGGAGGCTCATCGTCGTAATGACCAAACGCCGACCCAGCCGATGGCCAGGCACGTGGCACTACTCAGGATGGGTGTGCCCTTCCTGGCCACACCTCAGTCCAGTCCTCAGAGGTGTGATGTCCTGAGTGGCTGAGCAGCTCCGAAGAGGCAGCACAGAACATGTCTGGGCCACTCGGAAAGGACAGAAATCAAGGAGGGACCCGGTAGGCGCTTCCCACGGGAGCAGATAATGTAATTAAAGGTTCAGACGTGGGGAGAGGCCAGGAGGGGGAGCTCTCCACTCCTCTGATCTTCATCCGGAGCCCCTCTTGGCAGAGGCTCCCTTGCACCCTGCATTCCCATCCCTCCCCGGACCCCCGGCTTTATGCCGTCCCATTTCACTAACCACCACGTCATGCGTTCATTTGTCTGCGTCTGTGTCCGCACAGAATGGAAGCTCCCCAAGGGCAGGGAGGGGTGTGCTCTTCACTCCAGCATCCTCGTTACACAGCCGGGTGTGCACGAGACTAGTGGAAATAGCAGGCTTTTAATTTACTGAGCAGAACTCATGGGTCATCTAAGTTTATTATTTTGTTTTAAACAGGAAAGGTGTGTTACAGGAAAATTAACCTGACATAGATGAAGACAAATTTGAGAGGGATTTGGGAGGACAGGGTGGTCTGTGTGTCGTGATGGTCCAAGACTGGGGATTGCTGTAGAAATAAATAGGAAGGACCACAAACACCCTGCAGTCACCTAAGCAGGGCTTTTACCATCAGTAATAGCAGGAAAGCCATGGTAGAGAACAGTCACGGGAGGGAGCACGAGGCACTCTTGCCAAGAGAATTAGGTAAACGTGTACATTCTCAATGTATCAACAGGCAAATAGAACCAACTACAAAGAGCACAAGTATACAGCAGCAACTAACACAACAATGTAAAGCAATTATACTCCAATAAAGATGTTAAAAAACAAAAAAAAAGCGCATGTAGTGTGATTGCATTTGTAGAAGTACATGCACAAATATACAGCCATCCCCCCTCATCCGAGGTTTCACTTTCCGTAGTTTGTTACCACGGTCAACTGTGATCCAAAAATATTTTATGGAAAATTCCAGAAATAAATGGTCAGTTTTCAATTTTGCCATGTGAGCAGTGTGATGAAATCGCTTGCCTCAGCTTCGACCGCCAGGATTTGAGTCATCCCTTTGTTCAGCGTGTGCTGCCTGTTAGTCACCTAGGTTGTCATGCTGACTGTCCCAGCGCTCGTGTTCACTCACCCTGATTTTATTGATACTAAAAATGGCCCGAAAGCACCAGAGGAGTGATACTGGCAGTTTGGATGTGCCAGAGAAGCCATGCAGTGCTTCAAGTGAAAGGTGAAAGTTAATAAGGAAAGAAAAGAAAAAAAAAGTATGCTAAGGTTGCTAAGATACACGGTAAGAGCAAATCTTTTGTCCGACACGTTGTGAAGAAGGAAAAAGAAATCCATGTTCGTTTTGCTGTCGTGCCTCAAACCCTAAATGTTACAGCCACAGTGCATACATAAGTGCTTAGTTAAGCTAGAAAAGGCATCAAATTTGTACAATAAGATATTTTGAGAGAGAGACCACATTCATATAACTTTATTATCATTTTTATAATCATAATTATATTGTTATGTTTGTTTATCTTATCATTAGTTATTGTTGTAAAACTCTTACTGTGCCTAAGTTACAAATTAAACTTTATCTTAGGTGTGTATATTTAGGAAAAATAGTACTAACAGGATTTGGTGCTCTCAGTGGTTTTGGGGTCTTGGAATGTTATCTCCCTTCAATAAGGGGAGGCCGCTGTATGTTTGTTAATACATTCAATTTATCTGAAAAATACAAGCCAGACTGTTAGCATGTGCAGAATGGCACCAGGGAAGGGACCTACTGGTCTTCAGTATTACATCACACAATTCTGTGCTACTTGGTTACTTTTCTATAAGCGCGTATTATTTTACATTAAGATATTTTAAATAGATAATTTAAATAACTCGAGTTAAGTATGTCTCCTAAAAGAAGTATCAAGTATGTACTTCTGGGGCTTCCCTGGCGGTGCAGTGGTTAAGAATCCGCCTGCCAATGCAGGGGACATGGGTTCGAGCCCTGGCCCAGGAAGATCCCACATGCCGTGGAGCAACTAAGCCCATGAGCCACAACTACTGAGCCCGCGCACCTAGAGCCCGTGCTCCGCAACAAGAGAAGCTACTGCAATGAGAAGCCCACACACCACAACGAAGAGTAGCCCCCGCTCGCTACAACTAGAGAAAGCCTGCGCACAGCAATGAAGACCCAACGCAGCCAAAAATAAATTAAAAAAAAAGAATGTACTTCGAACCATCACAGTTATTTTAAGTATTACCTAAAATCTCTTGTCACAAAATACATGAGCATTAAAATGTAAGGACAGTTTGCATTTTGGCCTAAAAATCCAACAAGGTGACCCATAATCTAAACACAATAACGAAGCAGATGAGTTTGGGAAGGAATGATGCAAAATTAGAAACCCTCCTATTCAAGAATGAAGCCATATCAGAGTCAGAAAGCATCTCCTAATTAATGAGAAATGAAGGTATTGATAATCCACACCATGTAATCTTCTGGGAAAGAGTTGAAGTTTAAAACTATGGATGTTTTACACACAGACACACATGCATTTATTTCATAGTTGAGAAGCCATTTAAAATCGTGGTTATGATGGCCAAAGGGACAAAAATGAAACTGATAATAAATCTGACCCTAAACCCATACTGCTTTGAAGAAAGCTTTTCTTGGTAGTTCTGTTTTTAAATGATTATCTGAAAAAACAGTCTGAGTAAAAATGGTCTGAACCATTCTCTGTTTCAAAATAAGACTTTGTACATTATTGTCTGAGTGAAGAGCATTACCTTTGGAAGCAATTATAGGTAGTACTTACATCTTTTTTTTTTTCCCCACTCAGGTGCCAGTTCAACAGATTCTGACAGTGAAAGTTTAGCGTTCAAATCAAAACCTGGAGCCATGCCACAGTAAGTACCTACAATTCCATCAATTATAAGCAAAGACTGTCAACAGAATTGTACTCTGTGATGCCACTTGTGTTGCGCTCTGAAGAGGTCAGCTAATGTCAATCAAGAACCAAATGCTTGAACCTAGAACACAGTTTTTAACTTATGAATTCGAACTTTGAAATCCGCATTTCATCATCGATGTGCCAGAGTCTAACCATCAACCATGTTAGTTTCAGTGACAACTAACAGGTTATAAATGTATGAAAGGAACACTTGTGTTGAGGGAAAATTACTTAAATCATTACTAAAACGTAAATGTCAACCAAGTTATCCATACATATTAGAACATATCTAATGAGGCCAGAAATGGGCTTCCATGTGGATGAAGTCTATTTCTAGTTAGATCTTGTCATGAAAATCTCAAAATTTAGTTTTTCCTACGAAGACATACAATGTTAGTATCTTAATCATTTTGCAAAAATAAAGTAAAATTGTTCCCATCCTCCCTGGGAGCAAAGACTGCCACCACGTTCGTCCTGCCTGCCGTTTGCTGCAGAAGATCTGAGGAGGCATGAAGAATACCAATGTCCAGGATCCACCACCAGAGAGCTGGCATCTGGGTTGGGCCCTCAGATTTAAAGGATTTTATTCTGCATTTGTGAATCCAAGCAGCTGTGAATTTTGCCGTGTGGCTCACAGTGTCTTGGTGCCCTGACCCTGTGTCAGGCCTGAGCGTCTGAGGTGGGAGAGCCGAGTTCAGGACATTGGACCAACAGAGACCTCCCGGCTCCGCGTAATATCAAACGGCCAAAGCTCTCCCAGAGATCCCCATCTCAATGCTAAGACCCAGCTCCATCAAAGACCAGCAAGCTACAGTTCTGGACACCCTATGCCAAACAACTAGCAAGACAGGAACACAACCCCACCCATTAGAAGAGAGGCTGCTTAGAATCATAACAAGGTCACAGACACCCCAAAACACACCACTGGATGCAGTCCTGCCCACCAGAAACACAAGATCCAGCCTCATCCACCAGAACACAGGCACCAGTCCCCTCCACAAGGAAACCTACACAACCTACTGAACCAACCTTAGCCACTGGGAGCAGACACCAAAAACAACAGGAACTACGAACCTGCAACCTGCGAAAAGGAGACCCCAAACACAGTAAGTTAAGCAAAATGAGAAGACAGAGAAACACACAGCAGATGAAGGAGCAAGGTAGAAACCCACCAGACCAAAAAAATGACGAGGAAATGGGCAGTCTACCTGAAAAAAAATTCAGAGTAATGATAGTAAAGATGATTCAAAATCTTGGAAATAGAATGGAGGAAACACAAGAAACGTTTAACAAGGACCTAGAAGAACTAAAGAGCAAACTAAACAATGATGAACAACACAATGAATGAAATTAAAAATTCTCTGGAAGGAATCAATAGCAGAATAACTGAGGCAGAAGAACGGATAAGTGACCTGGAAGATAAATTAGTGGAAATAACAACTGCAGAGCAGAATAAAGGGAAAAGAATGAAAAGAATTGAGGACAGTCTTGGAGACCTCTGGGACAACATTAAATGCACCAACATTTGAATTATAGGGGTCCCAGGAGAAGAAGAGAAAAAGAAAGGGACTGAGAAAATGTATGAAGAGATTATAGTGGAAAACTTCCCTAATATGGGAAAAGAAAGAGTCAAGTCCAGGAAGCACAGAGAGTCCCATACAGGATAAATCCAAGGAGAAACACACCAAGACACATATTAATCAAACTATCAAAAATTAAATAGAAAAAATATTAAAAGCAGCAAGGGAAAAACAACAAAAAACATACAAGGGAATCCCCATAAGATTAACAGCTGATCTTTCAGCAAGAACTCTGCAAGCCAGAAGGGAGTGGCAAGACATATTTAAGGTGATGAAAGGGAAAAACCTACAACCAAGATTACCGGCAAGGATCTCATTCAGATTTGACAGAGAAAGTAAACCTTTTACAGACAAGCAAAAGCTAAGAGAATTCAGCACCAACAAACCCGCTTTACAACAAATGCTAAAGGAAGTTCTCTAGGCAGGAAACACAAGAGAAGGAAAAGACCTGCAAAAACAAACCCAAAACAGTTAAGAAAATGGTAATAGGATCATACATATGAATAATTACCTTAAATGTAAATGGATTAAATGCTCCAGTCAAAACACATAAACTGGCTGAATGGATACGAAAACAAGACCCACATATATGCTCTCTACAAGGGACCCACTTCAGCCCTAGGGACACATACAGACTGAAAGTGAGGGGATGGAAAAAGATATTCCATGCAAATGGAAATCAAAAGAAAGCTGGAGGAGCAATTCTCGTACCAGACAGAATAGACTTTAAAATAAAGACTATTAGAAGAGACAAAGAAGGACACTACATAATGATCAAGGGATCAATCCAAGAAGAAGATACAACAATTGTAAATATTTATGCACCCAACATAGGAGCACCCCAATACATAAGGCAAATGCTAACAGCCCTAAAAGGGGAAGTTGGCAGTAACACAATCATAGTAGGGGACTTGAACACCCCACTTTCACCAATGGACAGATCATCCATAGTGAAAATAAATAAGGAAACACAGCTTTAAATGATACATTAAACAAGACAGACTTAATATTTATAGGAATTCCATCCAAAAACACCAGAATACACTTTCTTCTCAAGTGCTCACAGAACATTCTTCAGGATAGATCATATCTTGGGTCACACATCAAGCCTTGGTGAATTTAAGAAAATTGATATCGTATCAAGTATTTTTCTGACCACAACACTATGAGACTAGATATCAATTACAGGAAAAAATCAGTAAAAAATACAAACACATGAAGACTAAACAATGTACTACTAAATAACCAAGAGATGACTGAAGAAATCAAAGAGGAAATCAAAAAATACCTAGAAACAAATGACAATTAATACACGATGACCCAAAACCTATGGGATACAGCAAAAGCAGTTCTAAGAGGGAAGTTTATAGCAATACAATCCTACCTCAAGAAACAAGAAACACCTCAAATAACCTAACCTTACCCCTAAAGCAATTAGAGAAAGAAGAATAAAAAAACCCCCAAAGTTAGCAGAAGGAACTAAATCATAAAGATCAGATCAGAAATAAATGAAAAAGAAATGAAGGAAACAATAGCAAAGATCCATAAAACTAAAAGCTGGTTGTTCGAGAAGATAAAATTGATAAACCATTAGCCAGACTCATCAAGAAAAAGGAAAAAAAATCAATAGAATTAGAAATGAAAAAGGAGAAGTAACAACTGACACTGCAGAAATACAAAGGATCATGAGAGATTACTACAAGCAACAATATGCCAATAAAATGGACAGCCTGGAAGAAATGGACAAATTCTTAGAAAAGCACAACCTTCAGAGACTGAACCAGGAAGAAATAGAAAATTTAAACAGACCAATCACAAGCACTGAAATTGAGACTGTGATTAAAAATCTTTCAACAAACAAAAGCCCAGGACCAGATGGCTTCACAGGCGAATTCTGTCAAACATTTAGAGAAGAGCTAACACCGATCCTTCTCAAACTCTTCCAAAATATAGCCGAGAGAGGAACACTCCCCAACTCATTCTACGAGGCCACTATCACCCTAATAATACCAAAACCAGGCAAAGATGCCACAAAGAAAGAAAACTACAGGCCAATATCACTGATGAACATAGATGCAAAAATCCTCAACAAAATACTAGCAAACAGAATCCAACAGCACATTAAAAGGATCATACGCCATGATCAAGTGGGGTTTATTCCAGGAATGCAAGGATTCTTCAGTATACACAAATCAATCAATGTGATACACCATATTAACAAATTGAAGGAGAAAAGCCATATGATCATCTCAATAGATGCAGAGAAAGCTTTCAACAAAATTCAACACCCATTTATGATAAAAAGTCTCCAGAAATTAGGCATAGAGGGAACTTTCCTCAACATAATAAAGGCCATATATGCCAAACCCACAGCCAACACCATCCTCAATGGTGAAAAACTGAAAGCATTTCCACTAAGATCAGGAACAAGACAAAGTTGCCCACTCTCACCACTCTTATTCAACATAGTTTTGGAATTTTTAGCCATGGCAATCAGAGAAGAAAAAGAAATAAAAGGAACCCAAATCGGAAAAGAAGAAGTAAAACTGTCACTCTTTGCAGATGACATGATACTATGCATAGAGAATCCTAAAGATGCTACCAGAAAACTACTAGAGCTAATCAATGAATTTGGTAAAGTAACAGGATACAAAATTAATGCACAGAAATCTCTTGCATTCCTATACACTAATGATGAAAAATCTGAAAGAGCAATTAAGGAAACATTCCCATTTACCAGTGCAACAAAAAGAATAAAATACCTAGGAATAAACCTACCTAAGGAGGCAAAAGACCTTATGCAGAAAACTATAAGTCACTGATGAAAGAAATTAAAGATGTTACAAACAGTTGGAGAGATACACCATGTTCTTGGATTGGAAGAATCAACATCGTGAAAATGACTATACTACCCAAAGCAATCCATAGGTTCATTGCAATCCCTGTAAAACTACCAATGGCGTTTTTCACAGAACTAGAGCAAAAAATTTCACAGTTTGTATGGAAACAAAAAAGATCCTGAATAGCCAAACCAATCTTGAGAAAGAAAAACGGAGTTGGAGGAATCAGGCTCCCTGACTTCAGACTCTACTACAAAGCTACAGTAATCAAGATAGTATGGTACTGGCACAGAAAGAGAAATATAGATCAATGGAACAGGATAGAAAGCCCAGAGATGAACCCATGCACATATGGCCACCTTATTTTTGGTAAAGGAGGCAAGAATATACAATGGAGAAAAGACAGTTTCTTCAATAAGTGGTGCTGGGAAAACTGGACAGCTACATGTAAAAGAATGAAATTAGAACACTCCCTAACACCATACACAAAAATACACTCAAAATGGATTAAAGACCTAAATGTAAGGCCAGACACTATAAAACTCTTAGAGGAAACCATAGGCAGAACACTCTATGACGTACATCACAGCAAGATCCTTTTTGACCCACCTCCTAGAGAAATGGAAATAAAAACAAAAATAAACAAATGGGACCTAACTAAACTTAAAAGCCTTTGCACAGCAAAGGAAACCATAAACAAGATGAAAAGACAACCCTCACAATGGGAGAAAATATTTGCAAATGAAGCAACTGACAAAGGATTAATGTCCAAGATTTACAAGCAGCTCATGCAGCTCAATATCAAAAAAACAACCCAATCCAAAAATGGACAGAAGACCTAACTAGACATTTCCACAAAGAAGATATACAGATTGCCAACAAACACATGAAAGAATGCTCAACATCACCCATCATTAGCGAAATGCAAATCAAAACTACAGTGAGGTATCAGCTCACACCCGTCAGAATGGCCATCATCAAAAAATCTACAAACAGTAAGTGCTGGAGAGGGTGTGGAGAAAAGGGAACTCTCTTGCACTGTTGGTGGGAATGTAAATTGATACAGCCACTATGGAGAACAGTATGGAGGTTCCTTAAAAAACTAAAAATAGAACTACCATATGACCCAGCAGTCCCACTACTGGGCATATACCCTGAGAAAACCATAATTCAAAGAGTCATGTACCACAGTGTTCACTGCAGCTCTATTCACAATAGCCAGGACGTGGAAGCGACAGATGAATAGATAAAGAAGATGTGTCACGTATATACAGTGGAATATTACTCAGCCATAAAAAGAAACGAAATTGAGCTATTTATAGTGAGGTGGATGGACCTAGAGACTGTCATGCACAGCGAAGTAAGTCAGAAAGAGAAAAATAAATACCGTATGCTAACATATACATATGGAATCTAAAAAAAAAAAAAAGGTTTTGAAGAATCTAGGGGCAGGACGGGAATAAAGACGCAGACGTAGAGAACGGACGTGAGGACACGGGGAGGGGGAAGGGTAAGCTGGGACGAAGTGAGAGAGTGGCATGGACTTATACACACCACCAAATGTAAAATAGCTAGCTAGTGGGAAGCAGCCGCATAGCACAGGGAGATCAGCTTGGCGCTTTGTGACCACCTAGAGGGGTGGGATAGGGAGGGTGGGAGGGAGACGCAAGAGGGAGGAGTTATAGGGATAGCTGATTCACTTTGTTATACAGCAGAAACTAACACACCATTGTAAAGCAGTTATACGCCAATAAAGATGTTTTTTAAAAATAAAAAATAAAGTAAAATCTACCGAAATTTTGTAGAAAACTCCATGGACATCGAGATCGTGGTAATACATTTCATTGATTTGCTAGTATATACATAATAATTATAGCCATTTAACATCCAATAGTCACTGAATATTCATGTTAAAGGGATCTTAATAAGATCACATACTCTGCCACCTGTGCATCCAGCCAGTTATCTCAGGTTTAGTGAAGTGACATGAGTCGCTTGAGATTACACAGCCCATGACTTAGCAAAATTGGGCCTGGAAACAAGTCTAAGTTTTATGCACCAAAGCAAAAATTCCAAGATACTCTTGACTTTACACAGTGAGAAGCCAGAACAAAGAACAGCCGCTAGACTGAAAATAGACAATGAGAACTCTGCATTAAATATAGAACCCCCAACCCTACACGTTTTACGTATCTGCTTAGTGTTAGAGACTGACCTTTTTCCAAGTATTTTCTTTTCTCTTAGGATTTCCAGTTCGGTAATTTCAGCTCTCTGGTAAGAGCTGAGATACATAGTTACATGCGCCATTTTTCCTTTTTCTGTGTGTTTTGTTTACTAATGTCTAGGGCCATCTGTGCCTATACTGACCACCGCTATTCTAACTGTAGGTTGTGGGTCCTGATGTCGGAAGCACTTACAGTTGAAGCGGGTTGAGTAGACATAAAGAAACTGGGCTGTTCTGTGGAAATGTTTCAAAGAATACTTCCTGCTTAAAAAATTCTGAGTGAACCCTTGGCCCCTTATCTTCCAGGGCTCAGAAGAAAACAACTTCCGTTTCCTTGACGATAGGATCATCATCTCCAAAGACAGGGGTGACCACAGCTGTGATTCAGCCACTGTCTGTCCCTGTTCAACAGGTAAGTGTTCCACAGCCTACAAGGAGTCAAACTCACTGAAGTTTTCCCGTCCTCTAAGAGCTAAACAGATAATACAGAAAAAAATTCGCTTTCCTTCCCTTCACCATGCAGTTTTATCCTGCTTTTTTATTTCACTGTAAGACTGCTTTATCCAAGAAAGAAAAGCAGTAGAAATGACTGGAAAGCCATTGTAGTAAGTTTACTTTGCAAAACACAAACCATGAAGGTTTTTTTAATGTAAAAGATTAAAATCTAGATGTTTCTGAATCAACTGTGATACTTTGTGCTGTGACGAGTATCTTCAAAGCCAACACTTTTGAAATGTGAACTCATTCCTACCTCCTAAGTGTGCCTAAGGAACATCGGTGTGCCCTCCAGGTACTGGGCACCCGTGGGTATTTTAGAAATTCTAGTATGTGACTCACTGTGATGTGTAGCGTACACAGCCAGTGAAGAAAACACATCTGAGATCATAAACTGGAAAGGAGCCAACCAGTAGAAGTTACTCAGCGATGGCACGTATAGTAGGTATTTCCTTTAAACCCCTAACCCAGAGTGGACTTTACAGAAATAGTTGTGATTAAGGCAGTGGACTCCTTTTAGTGTTTGATATTTAAGTATTGGTAAGTATGTAATGAATGCTAAGCCCTGTCAGCGGCCGTGCTGTCACTCACACGGGTCCCTCTTGGGCACCGTCCCCGTAACGCCAGGTCATAGAGCCCATCTTTTCAGCGGTTCGTATGTTCCAAGTTTGACCCATGTGCCTCTGCTTTTCAGGCTCCCAGCCCCACCTCGTGCCTCTGCCGGCCAGATGGACCCACAGCCGCCTGCTTCCCGCCTGTTTTCACCAAGGTCTGGCATCTGTGCGTCTCATTCAGTGGGTCTGCTCTGGGCCTTAGGTTCCATTCCCCTGTGGCTTTGTGGAGCAGTGTTTAAAAATTACAACGAGTGGATGAGCAGGCTCTTTTCATGGTTACCTTTGGGCTGAGTAGATATTCGTTGCACAGCTGCTGTGTGACCGTAATTTGTAAAGGGTGTGAGAGAGGTGGCCCTGCTCACGTTGGACCTGACAGAGCTCAGAATAGACTGGGAAACAGTACAAGAAACAACACAAAATGCTGCGTAGGGAACTGGGAGAACCGGCAAGTTTTATAGACATTTTTTTAAAAAACTGACTAATTTTCAGTTTGTCCAAGTTGGTGTTTTGTGTTGCCAGGCTGATGACATGCATTTCATTGGTCAACTGGTCAGCTCAGAAATGGTCCCATGTAGTATTTCTTCTCTGTTTCCTACCCCCCTTTTTGAGAAAGTTATAAACTTTATTTTTTTTAGTGGAGTGTAGTTGATTTACAGTGTTGTGTTAGTTTTAGGTGTACAGCAAAGTGATTCTGTTATACATAGACTTTTTTTCAGATTCTTTTCCCTTATAAGTTATTACAAAGTATTGAGTATAGTTCACTGCGTCATATAGTAGGTCCTTGTTGTCTATCTCTTACACGTTATAGTGTGTTCATGTCAATCCCAAACTCCTAATTTATCCCCCCTCCTTTCCCCTTTGGTAATCATAAGTTTTCTATGTCTGTAGGTCTGTTTCTGTTTTGTATATAAGTTCATTGTGTCAGTTTTTTTTATTTGAAAGACATTTTAAAAGGCACAAGTAAAGGGAGAGGTTGCACCATGCCTGTGCACCAGTACACTGTCAGAAGTCATGACCCTAGACCAGTCTCTAAATTCAATGCAAATCTAGCTCAAATTCCAACAGGTTCCTTGTTTTTATTTGTGTTTGTTGTTGAACTTGGCCGTTCGATTCTAAATATTTTGTGGAAGAAAAAGCGACGCAGAGCAGCCAGGGCCCTCCTGCACAAGCAGGAGGAAATGGTGTTAGGGATCTGAGATGTCAAGACTTCCGAAGGCCAGAGCATCAGGAGAGCAGTGCTGGCTCAAGGCTGGACAAACGGATGAACGAGGCCCAGAGAGCGCCCACAAGACACCCAAGCAACCCACGGTCACTGAGCAGGGTGGGTTCTTCAGCAGAGGTGGGCCCCGACCTCACACTTTTCACAAAAATCAATTCCAAGTACCTAAAGACAGATGTGAAAGCAGTTTCTATAAACCCATCATCTAAAAGCTATAAATCTGCAAGGCAGCCAAGAAGAGCATCTGAATAGTCTTCATGTAGGGAATGATTTCTCTTTCCTAAGCCAGCCTGCATCCAGCTTGCTTAAAGACCTTTTCATAAACAGGGTATTGACCGGAGGATGCAACAAATGATAATTGTTGACAGCAACATTGAAGTCGCCTCCCAGGATAAAATACCCAAAAAGAAAGAAAACAAGGCATGTCAAACCTGCCAACAACCGTGTCGGTGTAACTGCCCATGAGGTCGTCCATCCTTTGGTGCTTAGAGCAGGAGTTGTTTACGGAGGGGTGGGCACGACACGTTTACCTGTAGTTTAAGAGTTTTTCTCAAGCAGCCTCGTGAAACTGGCCGAGAAATCTGTGTTACCTGCCACACTATTGCTGGGGACACAGTTGATTTTGGAGCCAGAGCCGATCAAGCGTGTCCTGGTGGCACCAGGGAGGGGAGAGGCCCCGAGAGTTTCCTTTCCTCCCTCAGGGCCACGGAATTCCTCCAGGGCCATGAGAGACCCTCAGTCCCAGGCATACACCCTGTTCCTTTCCTCTGCAGTGCAGTCCAGCTCCTGAGACAGAGGTTCCAGCAGCAGTGTCCCCCCTTTCCCAGAGAAAACCAGGAAGCGTTCTCTGAGCTTAATAGAAAGAAAAGCAAACCAGAATTCAGCATTTTTACAAAGCTTGAGTTTTTAAGTTGCAAACTGTAGAGTGGCCGGAGCTCAGGGCCATGTCCCCGTGCCTGCAGCTCCATGTCCTGGGTCTGGACAGTGGATGTCCCCCCCGTTCTGTATGGTCTTCTTCTTCCTCACTGGCACCTGTGCCCTTTCCCTGTGGGCGGTGCCTCTCCCTGCTCTGCACTGTCCTTTGGGGGCCTGGGCTCTGGTTCCGGAGGGGATGGTGGTGACGGGGTGGCCTGGGCTTTGCAAGTCCACTGGTGCCTCCATCCATGCTCTCCCACGTCGCTGGGAAAGGTTCCCCGGGGCTGAGCCGGAGCCGCAGAGCTGGCGGGGACAGCGGGGCTGTGAGTCACAGGGACACACGTGGGGCCAGGAGAGTGGCCTGCTCCGTGTGGTGTTTCTCCCCAGAGCGGTAGACCCTCCAAGGAATCTCAGTACCAGGTGGACCTGACAACGAGAGATGCTCTTCTGTGGACCCTGAAACACCCAGGGGTCCCAGAGTCTGCCGAGTGGACGACCCTGACTGCCAAGGTCAGCCTCTGAAGGTGACTCTTGGCCTCCCTTGGGGTCATCACTGTGGTTCCTACGAGCGAACCATGTTTACGGTGGCTTCTGTCAAGAGAAAAAGCTCACTCCAGGAGGGGCCAGGTGGCACACCTGGGCTAACTGCAGAGGTTTGACTGTATAAAGTCTTTGGCACCTTCCCATTTACCACCTATGTGATTTTCCAGTGTTTGAACAAAATGCATAATCCTAGGAGCAAACAGAGTCCCCCTGTGGTGTCTGAAGGCTCACACATGAAGAGTATTTGTGCAGCATCTGTAACGTGCTGTGAACACTTCCCGGACAAGCCGGGGGGGTTGATTCATCCGTCCACATAAGCTGGACCCCGTGGGCCATATCTTCCCTGCTGATCTGCTAAATCAGCGCTTTCTTGACCAATCAGAAAGTGAAAGTCAATTTAAAACCAGAGATTTTCCTACAGTTAAAAGTAAGGGTGGAGTGAGAATGCACTCAGAAGTAGATAATAATCTTCACCTTTCCATTAAAAAAAAAAAACAAAAAGACCTTAGCCACCAAAATGCTCATGAAATGCCTTCCCGGACTTCGCAGTAGACTTTTATGGTCCTGCCCGCATCATGGACTTTGAGGATTCCCACGGGGCCGGGGCACACACAGTTGCTGCAGGGTCTGTTGTTCCCAGCACACCATTGGCTGGCTGTTCAGAAAAATGTAAAAAGCAAAAACAGAAATAGAAGAAAAAAAAAAAACCAACTTCCTGATGTGAATTTGTTTGCTTTGGGTCTCTGCATAGGTGAATTACTTGATCATATTTGACATCTTTTAAGAATTCTTCATGTCCTTTATCAGATGCAATACTCTGTAGTCAGAAGGGTAGATAGCCAGAAAGTTTCAGTGGGCCCGTGGCTAAGCGATTGCAGAGGGGAAGGGCAGAGTGCGGACACCTGGAAGGGGCCAGTTATTCCTTTAGTATTTAATAGCCAGTTTACAAGCTTCACGTCTTTGCATCTGTGAAGCCAAACGCATTTATGGTCTGTTGGGTTGTAAACATTTATTGGGCTGGAGTTGGAGTAGGTGGCACCAGGGTGACAGCAGGGGAAGAGGCAAGGAAGGTCAGGTGGGGGAAGTGCTCCTGTCTTCTTCTTATTTCACTCAGAATCTCCAAATGAGAAAATGCCAACCCTCATCCTGGTAAAGCGGACCCAGGAAGCTGGCGGGCAGAGGTGGCGCCCCGCGACAAGCTCAGAGCTTGGGAGACAAGTGGGGTCTCCTTGCCTTCCTGTCTGGGTCTCTCAGGAATCTACACTCAGATGGAGTGCGATTCTTTAAAGACGTTTGCGTTCCACCAGCTCACTCTTCAGTGTAGATAAAGGTACCCGTTACCGTAAAATTCCATGAATACTAGAGCCGTACCTTTGCAGGGTGGGCCCAGCGTTTCTGCCGGCCCCATGGGAAGCCTTACTTACTTCATTACATGCAGTTAAAGGTGTTTCTCCTGAGCTGATTTTATGATGCAAAGCCTGCGTTTGCTTCTCTAAGGTTGGGAAGTGTTGCTCTCTGTTGTGAAGCTGGGTGAGACCACACCAAGGCCTTACGTGCACGGATCCTTGCATTTCAGGAGCTGCAAAGCATCTCAGCCTCCAAGGGACAGGCAGCCGTGCTGGAGTGCCGGGTCCGAGGCACGCCCCCACTGCAGGTCCAGTGGTTCCGACAAGGCAGTGAAATCCAGGACTCTCCAGACTTCCGGATCCTCCAGAAAAGTAAGGAGAGGGGCCCGTCCCACCACCCCCAGGTCTGACCAAGCCCTCTTGTCCAGCTCCAGGAGAACCGGGAAGGGCTTAGTCACTGAGATGCATGGATTTCTTCCTCCCTCCCTCCCTCCCTCCCTTCCTTTCTTTGCGTTTTGTTTTAATATTTAATTTAATTTTTACTTTATATTGGAAGATAGTTGATTTACAGTTTTGTGTTAGTTTCAGGTGTACAGCAAGGTGATTCAGTTATATGTATACATATAGTCATTCTTTCTCAGAGTCTTTTCCCATGTAGAATATTACAGAATATTGAGTAGAGTTTCCTGTGCCATACAGTAGGTCCTTGTTGATTATCTAATTTATATACTGTAGTGTGAGGTGCATAGATTTCTGTTCTCCGAGTGGGGAGGGCGTGCAGGGTGCAGCACATTAAAGCCGCCCTGATGGAGTTTGTCTTCACCATTTCTGCAGACATGTCCTAGACAAGGTCACAGAAAAAGATGGGTAGGTTTAGTATGAACGGAAGCCCAGTCTAATACTCTGTTTTGATTTCTTTTTTTCTCATGTGGGAAACAGAACCTCGATCCACAGCTGAACCTGGTAAGAAGCTTTTTCTTTTTTTCTCTCTGGTAATGTATCTCTTTGGTTTCAATAGCTCTTTGTTTCCATTTTAAAGCCATCAGCAGAACAGTGTTTTTGCAGTTCCCTGGAAATGTGAAACCCCCTTACAGACAATATCTTCTTTATCGTGGGGTCTGCATGCTGCGTTTTACATCAGGTTCTTTATTAGGGAAACATGAAGTTCCATTCAGACAAGAAGGTCAGGCTCAGTGACTGAAGGCTTTTAAAACTGTAGTCTGTTATACTCAGAAAGCAAGCTGAGCTCAAGATGAAAAAACATCCTGCTAAGATTCCAGGAGAAAAGAGTGATCTGCGGCATATTTCTGCTGACCAAAAGCCACCAACAGCTAGACCCCAGCCTGGAAATGCACCTCACGGGAAAGCAGCCCAAGGATGTCAGCAGAGTGACCACCGGGCGTCTCTCATTTATGTGCCCTGACCCATGAGCGCTTCCTCTGCTACACCAGGAGGAAAGACATCTTGCCCTGGAACTGCACATCCCTGGGCCTCGTCAGAGCCATGTGGTCCAGAAGCCCAGGTGTCCTCCCCTCCCGCCTCGCACTTCTTGTATTTTTATGGCTCCTCATAGGCGAAAACGATGTTTATAAGAGAAGCAGAAATTTTTGTCCGGATGTTTCACAGTACATCCACCTCGAAGACTACTTTCTTAGTATCTTTCCCATCAGCAAAGTCACCAGTTTCACTCCCTTCTCGCCAAAGGGTGGAAAATGTGTGTCTCTGCTTCAGCATCACGCAGACCCGGCTGCACATCTCTTGGGAGCCAGACCCGGCTTGGCCTTTCTCGGGGATCGTGGTGGCTCCTGGTCAGAGAGACCGAGGCCAGTCCTGAGCCTCTCACACCCGCGCACCGGGGCCTGGAAAGCAGAGTGTGAGCCTGTTAGGGTCCAAAGTGGAAGGGATGCTGAGCGTCATCCTGAGGGAAAAACTGGAATTGATCTGACGCCTTCCTTTTTTAAATTAATTAATTTTTATTGGATTATATAGTTGATTTACAGTGTTGTGTAGTTTCAGGTGTACAGCAAAGTGAATCCGTTATACACGTATATATCTCTCTCCACTCTCTTGTAGGTTCTTTTCCCGTGTAAGTCATTACAGAGTGTTAGTAGAGCTCCCTGTGCTGCACAGGAGGGCCTTATTATCTATTATATATATACAATAGTGTGTATATGTTGATCCCAATCTCCCAATTTATCCCTTGCCTCCCCTTACCCCCTGGTAACCATAAGTTTGTTTTCTGTCTGTGACTCTACTTGTGTTCTGTAAATAAGTTCATTTGTGCCATGTTTTTAGATCCCACATATAAGTGACGTCACATGGTATTTGTTTTTTTCTGACACTTCACTCAGTATGACAATCTCTAGGTCCATTCATGTAGCTGCAAATGACATTATTGTGTTCTTTTTTATGGGTGAGTTATATTCCATTGTATATAGGTACCACATCTTCTTTATCCATTCATCTGTCGATGGGCAGTTAGGTTGCTTCCATGTCCTGGCTACTGTGAATAGTGCTGCAGTGAACATTGGGGTCCATGTCTCTTTTTGAATTATGGTTTTCTCTGGATATATGCCCATAACTGGAATTGCTGGATCATATGGTAGCTGTATTTTTAGTTTTTTAAGGAACCTCTACACTGTTCTCCATAGTGGCTGTACCGGTTTACATTCCCACCAGTAATGTAGGAGGGTTCCCTTTTCTCCACTCCCTCTCCAGCATTTATTGTTTGTGAGTTTTTGATGGTGGCCGTTCTGACGGGCGTGAGGTGGTACCTCAGTGTGGTTTTGATTTGCGTTTCCCTGATGATTAGTGATGCTGAGCATCTTTTCATGTGCGTATTGGCCATCCGTGTGTTATCTTGGAGAAAGGTCCATTTAGATCTTCCTCCCATGTTTTGATTGGGTTGTTTGGTTTTCTTTTCTGTTGAGCTGCATGAGGTTTTTTTTATATTTTGGAGGCTAATCCCTTGTTGTTCGCTTCATTTGCAAATATTTTCTCCCATTCCGTGGGCTGTCTTTGCGTTTTGTTTATGGTTTCCTTTGCTGTGCAAAAGCTAATTGGATACCTTCTTGTTGTGAGTTACACCCAGACCCCACCGCCCACCTGTACAGTCCCCACGTCAGGTACTGTGGTCACTTTTCAAACTGTGGAAACAACACAACTGCATGTTTTGCTGTGACATGGCTTTGTGTAAAATTGCACAATGCTGTTCCCTGATACAGGGGACTTCTGAGACTCAATCTCCTGCATGACCTGATGTGGAAATCCTATAGGGGGTTAAGGCATATCTTTTACATTACTATTTTAAGTAGACTAGGCAGACATGGATAGATGGATAGATAGATGAATGGATAGATGGACAGATAGATAGATAGGTAGGTATAAAAGTAGGAACCAAATATCTCCTTTATCCACAAGAAAGTTTGTGTGAACAAATCTATGGAGTAGGTTATCTCTTCTGGTGCTTTATGTACAATAATACTAAAATCTTGGGCCAAAAATTCTGAAGGCATTCCTGGTGGAATGGATTAAGACTGCTTTGGTCTTGCATTTTGGATTCTGTTTGAGTTCGTGCAACTCTTCTTTCATCGTGTTTTATCCATTGTCATCACCTACACAGGTGATATGACTTATTAAATGTCTCCTGTGATCTGTGTTGGAAAATCATAAACTAAGTATCATCTGAAAATTTAGAACACTGGGGAGAAACTGCATAGTTTAGTTTCTGAGTATGTGTGTGTTAGAAAATTGAAAGCTCTCAACACACCAACTAAGAAGGAGTATTTGGGTGAGGAGGGAAGAGAGAAACTCCTTCAGCCCCTCCACCACCCCTCAGACCCCATACACGCCTGTCTCAGTCGTGTTTGCTGTTTTGCTTCTAGAATATAGTTTGTTGTTGTTGTTGTTGTTGTTTGCGGTACGTGGGCCTCTCACTGTTGTGGCCTCTCCCGTGGCGGAGCACGGGCTCTGGACACGCAGGCTCAGCGGCCGTGGCTCACGGGCCCAGCCGCTCCGCGGCATGTGGGATCTTCCTGGACCGGGGCACGAACCCGCGTCCCCTGCATCGGCAGGTGGACTCCCAACCATTGCACCACCAGGGAAGCCCTAGAATATAGTTTTGATCATGAATTATTTAGTGAAACCAGTCCTCAGCAGCATCATGGGGTAGTCTGACCTCTAGAATGTTCTTAAATGCTTTTTGCTTTAATGTGGCAAAATCATGCCAAGAAGAGCGGGAGACGGAAGGCCTTCCTCGTAAACTGCACGTCCTAGCAGCGTATGAAAAAGTCTGCCCTCCCTGTGTTCGCTGAAGTTTCCTATTTTCGATCGGAAGTTCGATCTGGAAGCATTTAAGAAAACAGACTCCTCCGTTCAAACCACAATAATAGCGCTTGCTGAAGACAGATAATTCCTGATAGAGCGATATTTCAAGCAAATCTGTCAATCCAAGGCAAACACGTATATAGTCAGGAGCTATGAAAAACAAGACACCACTAGTCTTCCTCGACCTCTGATAATTCCTCCACAATTATATTCTCCACGACACGGTTGGAATTGCTTCCTTTTTTTCATACAGGACCATTAAACACTCTGCCTCAGAGAAATTCCCTGGTGGTCCAGGGAGTCGGCACTTCCACTGCCGTGGTCCGGGTTTGATCCCTGGCCAGGGAACTAAAATACTGCAAGCTGAGATGCGTGGCCAGAAAACAAAAAAATACCCTTCCTCAGAAATCTACACTTGACACGGAGAATTAAATAAAATCCACACGCATGAACGACTGTTCAAGTGACTGCTCACATGAGTTGTTATGAGTTAGAACTTTAGAACAAGCACACACTGACACATATTTGTAGTTAAACAATGTCCTGACTTGCCTGACAGAACCAGGTATGATTACGATTCCTTTACTAATAGGCGAATGTTTTCTAACATTGACTTGAAGTTGATGATTGATGCTTCCAGGGGAAAAAACAGAACATGTATTGAGTCTTTCACTGTCCTTAAATGACCTGATGGACTATTGCATCCAACACACAGACCTCTCAACTACTCAACCTTAGAGAATGTACATAGGAACTGGCTTCCCTTGTGGCTGTTTTTTAGCCACTGTTAAATGGAGAGGAGAAAAATTGACATGACTACGATACATCTGAGGCAAGAGATGAATTTTACAGAACTAGGTCGGAGATATTCTCCAAATGCTAAAATATAAGTAGCCTTTGAAATTCAGAACATACCGGAGCATTCTGGTTTTCCTGCCCTCTCTCCCGTTCCTGACATGATCACTCGTGCTCTCTCCCCGCTGGCTGGCCTCCCTCCCTCCCTCCCTTTCTTTCCCCATATCCCCCCCTCATTTATTTATATACCTCTTTTTTTCTTCTCTTCACTCTCCTTCTTTTTTCTTATTCATGGGCAAGATAAAGCCCTAGAAATGAAACTGAAATGCACTAGTGCCTGGTCACAGCCCCCGTAGGGATTAGATGTTTAGGTAAGGAAGGAAACAGCCCATTCCCTGCGATGCATTTGTGCAACGGAAACAGGTTTTTCTTGTCACTCCTCTGCTGGGTCTGTCTGATGTGTTTTCCACTCCTATCTTGTCTAGACAGAAGTCAGCTTGCATCACCCATCTTCTCAGACAGCTTTGTGAGTCCATAGCAGTCAGCTTACTCAGAACCCACATGTGTCTGTCATAGTACCTGCTCTGGCCTCCTTTGTTGACGTTCCGACTTTACCCTGATTGCATCCTTCAAAGACCAGTTGGGGGGCGGGCAGGGCCACAGAAGACTCCTTCAGCAGCTGTCCGCGCTCAGGTCCTGACTCATACGTCTGCAAACAGCCACAAACTGTATCGCGTTACTTCTGTAGCACTGTCTCATGACACGCAAAATCGAAACTCCAAAAACCAACGTGTCTTACTGGTTGGGGAACGGTGCACATAAAAGTGCAGTGCCCTGACTTT